TTCGAGTTCCACCCAATTTAATAGTTAACTGTGGTTTTGCCTCAGCTTACTATTTGTTTTCTTTCAGTTTTTCACGTAAAGGCTAGTTCAGTGTATCTCATGTTTTTATCCATTTCGCTCGTTTTTAGTGTATTTTATACGGTCTTAGGGCATTTGTTAGCATCTATAATACAGTTGAGTCAATATGATCATGGAAAATCTAGGCAAACAACCAAGATGCCGTCTTGCTGTTACATCTGGCATTCAGTGCGACAACTGGAAAGGTTGGTTCCATGAAGCGTGTACAGCAACTGATTACAACAGACTCAGCAAGTCTAATTATAAGTGGGAATAATTTGTCAGCAAACTTGGAAAAAGAAAGTCATAAAACGGGTAGACAAGCACGGGCGCGCAGCGAAAACAGGAATAGGGATGTCGACAGGTCTACCATCGATGGAGCATGCATAAGCACTAGTGGTGGCGTGCCGAAACTCAGCACCATCATTACGTCGACGGTAATCGACTCCTTCAGTAAACTCGGGTCTCCCAGCTCAGGGTCATTGAATGCAAAAGTGGTTCCCAAAAACTCTGTAAGTGATTGGACCCACGTTAACAGAGCTAAAAAGAACCAGGCGTCACCGTCTAAGCTGAATATTCCAAGTGTTGTACGGAAACCAACTGGTGACTTGGTCGCACAGTCTACCACCAAGAATGTCCGTCCGGTGATCAAAGAGCCTGAGATTCAGAAATGTACTTCGACCTCCAAACAACAAGGTGATTAACCGGAATACACTGGAAAACCTGGGAAAACAATAACGGTTCGTGATGACTCTCTCATAATCATGAACCTCATAGACAACCCTGACCTTCCTCTCAGTGTGCAGGACAAAAATGACAGGATGCTCTGGGGTGAGTTGAACAAGTAGCTTGAAGTTCCCAAGGCTACTTCGTGTAACACTTAAGAATGCTACTGACGTAGAGGATATCCTGCTAACTAGTCATTTACTGAAATCCGATGGGAACGTAGGAATACTGCCTGACACACCGTATTCTGAGCGCAATCTCATCCGGAACATCCCTAAAGAATCTCGTGAGAAGTTTTTCCGCGGAAGAAATATAATCGTGCAAGGTGTACCGGAAAACACGAACCCTAGTCAAGCAAACTCTGATAATTAGGGAATGGAAATTCATCAAGCAGTCCTTGAGGTTCAAAAACATACTGGCCCAACATGTGACGAGACTAGCCAAGAAGGACGGTGATTCTAGACCGCGGCTAATGAGGATAACTTTCCCATCCTCTCATATGGCGGCTGCAACTGGAAGCATTTCGTGTCAACAGACATCGGTTGCCAACTGGAATCCATATGCACCACCCGGACAGGCCATATGAAGCTAGGACCAAACACAAAGGCAAGTTGAAGCTGACCATTCCACTTGTGGACTGTCTTGTTTATAAAAAAGACGTGTAAACGTCAGCGCCTACCAACTCGACAAACCTTATATAGGTAGACTACCTGTTAATTCACATAAGGCTCATACAGACAAACAGGAAGGAGAAGCTCACACGTTTTAAATTGAAAGCATAAACTGCTTATACATGAACGCCGCGAGTCTACCAAATAAAATGGATGAGCTACGTGAATTTAGTAATGCTAATAAGGTTCATCTGATAGGAATATCTGAAACATGGGTATCTTCTCAGTTCTCGGACCAGGAGCTAGCAACACCTGGGATGTCTTTGTTACGCAACGACAGATAAACAGGAATTGGAGGTGGAGTAGCCGTATACATACAATCTTGCTTGGAGGGGGGAAGCGACCACGCTGTTATAGCTTTCAGTTTTGTCAGCAAAACTGAGCTCAGATATCCCACTAACAACAGGCGCTGGAATTTCAAACGGTTGAATGTGTCAGATCTACGTATCCGACCGGAAGCCACGAAATCAGTTCGAAGACTCAGATTTAAACCTTATGAAGAGCGCCTCAAATCACTTAACCTTTACCTATTAGAGGTGACCTCATGGCTTATAGCATTCGATCTGCACTAATAAGGACTAGACACGCATGTTATTTATCACCACCCAGTGATCAATCAATTGTGATTACATCTCAGTCCTAGAGGAGTTTAGTCGCAGCTCGGATAGCTCAGTGGTAACGTCTCTGACTGTGAAGCTGGGTGACACGAGATCGAATCCTCCAGGGAGCACCAGTTCCCTCAAGATTACAGGTGCACTCTGCTGACGAGTGGCACGAAACCCAGGCCCAGGGTTTCCTCTTGACTACCTCCAACCACCATCTAAATCTCAATATATAGTGCCCGCAGTGTCGAATCACGTAAACTGGTGGCCACATCGCAACATGATCGATAGCACTCGATCTGCACTAATAAGGACCAGACACGCATGACATTGATCACCACCCAGTGACCAATCAATTGTGATCTAATCTGGCTAGCGATCATAGTAGCAGTTGAGCACGGCGTTCCCACACGTGATTTGGTGCGGATGCCTGACCGAGCGCCTTCAGCTAAATGAGTCCACTCAAACTAATCTGCTCAGCATCCAATGTCGAAAACTTACAGAGCTATTTATTTTGGGGATTTATTTACCGCTACAAGTCACTCCCCCACCTAATGGGGTAGTGATGACCCTAAGACGTGGCCAGCCAGAAGTTTAAACCCAACCAGTTTGTCGTTGGTAAACACTCTTCTGATAGCTTACTAGGTTTAGCAGCGTCTGGCCGTCTTTCCTTACTATATGGGACCGAGGTACAACATAGTAAAGAAAGAAAAAGTACAATGAAAATTTCGGCTCCTCGTAAACTACATCGCTCTTTTCCAGCCGTCCTGAAAAAAATGTAAGTGCATGTCGAAATACACTCGTAAAAACACAATGTCAGCGAAAAAAGGAAAGTAAACTCATGCACACGTGATTGCGTTAAAAAATTTGTTTTCTTTTTTATTAAATAATGTAAATATATAAACATATTAAAACTTATTTTTTAAATATTATATATCGTAAAAAGAAAGATCGAAATAATATAAAATGTCGAGTAGTGCCTTATGTGCAGTAGTCGTTTAAATGTTCTGGAAATCCTACTCTTCTTCCAGAACGCGTCGTTTTAAGTTTATTTTCAGATACATCCGGAGTATCATCGTGTGTGTTGGTTGAGGAATTATGAGTGTAGAAGCCGTGTTGTGCGATTGTACCGAAGGGAAATCGACGTAGATAGGGTTTCCTTCTAAATATGCTGCTTTTGAGCGATCGATGCTGATGCTATCGTTTGTTCCGTTCTTATCGACTATATAGTACTTAGATTCATGTTGAAGAACTTTGAAAGGTCCCTCGTATGCTGATTCGAATGGTCGTCGATGCGAGTCTCGACGAACGAAAATGTGTGTACTGTATCGTAAGTCAGGTTGAACGAAAACATCAGTTGGTTGTGGTCGAGTGGAAGCAGGTTTAACTGAACGCATTGCGTTTGTAAGCCCGTTCGTGCAGGAGGTTAGATCCATGTTCATTGAAGAGGATGAAGGATCCACGAATTCTCCTGGAAGTCGAAGTGTCGTTCCATAAACGAGTTGAGCCGCAGTGTATCCAATGTCAGCTTTCACTGCATTGCGAATACCTAGTAAACGAGTGGAAGAGCGTCTCTATAGACCTTTTACCCCCAACTGGTATATTTTTGTTTCTATTGTTCAGCCGATTATATTTCATTTCAATGTCAACATTTAATGATGCTGAGCCTTCCTATCGCAATTACAATTTCCCTATCTTTATGAATATTCAAGACCTCAACAACAGAACTATCATTAGCTTCTCTGATAAAAATAACGTAACACTTTCGTTTATTCTACCTCATTGTTACCATGTTTAACAAAAGCTCATTATTACTACTATTGTAACTGTTATCATCTTGAAAAGTAAGTATACATTATTGTTGTACGGTTTTGAAAGTTGATTCGCCGAAAAGATAATTCCTTGTTGAACCAGCCACTTTTAGTTCTTTCAAGGTTTATTCCATAACTGACGTAACGAAATTTCCGTTATGATTATCCGTAAAATTGCAGTATCTAGTGTTTGCAATTCTGAGGGATAAACGTATAGTCATTCTTTGGATGTATCTACATACTTTATCACAAAGAAATATGTAGCAAGGAACAAATGCACCAACCGAATCACACCCAAACAGTTATTAAATGTATTGTGAGAAATGTACATAATTGCTGAATAATTAAGAAATGGTAATATTTAGATAGCCTCATTTCATTTGGAGTGAAGAAACAAATGACATACCATCAGTTTGTAGTAATCTATTTTGATGCATTTGATTCCTCCTTTTGTTAAAAGCAATAAGGAAAAAATCCAGAGCTAACCTAACTATTCATCGAAATTACACGTCTTCATATTAATCTTGATTCTTACTCGTTGATGCTACTCCCAATACTAGCCTAAATAATCACTTATTTCACAGGCTTCCTGATATTGCAAAAAATTATTTTTTTATTTGAGTTTCAACTTTTATGTATTTCACTTGAATTAACAACTCTATTCTTTTGTGAGAACGACGGTACTTTGTTAACATCTCTCACTGGTATACGACCAACTATAAAATACAGACCTTAAACAGTTTAAATCCATAATCGTAGATTTACATAAAATAATACTTGCAAGATGACAAATCCAAAGTGTTAAGGAGTTGTGGTTTGCAAGCACTGACTGTTAAGAACTGCTTTGGTTACTTAATTTTGGATAGTAGATTGATATTTTTTATCCTTACAATAAGTACGATACAAAGAAACATCCCAATAATTAAAAAGTCAATGAAATGAGGACTGCAACTCATTGATAAAGTATAGATCCATATATTCAGCTTTGATTAAAACTTATTTAGCGAAGGCTAGAGGTGGTACTCGGTTACATGAACCGAAATAGGCGAAGAGTAAGCAATCCCTAAATAAGTATATCATTCTAATCTAGTAATGATAACTGTTCCATAACAGAAGACAAAACGCTTGTGCTACTTAAATTAGATATAATGAAAACAAGTACCTCATAGTTGAAAAAGTATGTTCACAAATAATTAATTTCATGCTAGCGAGACCAAATGAAATGATACTTGAGAAACTCAGAACTCAAATACAATGTACCGACGCTCAATTCAGTTGAAATCCCAAAGCTTTAATAAAAAGAACTGTGAATATAAATCGGACAGTAAACTAGCAACCCTTAAATTGTCTCTTTGTATTAGGAAATCAGCCGGAAACAATGAATACAAGAAAACCCAGAAGGATCAAAAAAGGTTGTTCAACAGTCTAAACAAACAATTGAAACAAGGTAATTAGAACGATTAAAACAAGATCTCTTCATGGGCAGACTATAAAGAATCAAATGAATGCTATAAAATCTAGAATAGGTCATTGGTAAGAAATTAAAATTATAAGAATTATAAAACTTCCGTATACAACCCATGACTGATCAAGGTACAAGATCATTCATTAGTTTCAGTGGAAACAGGGATGCCAATAAGCAAGAAAATATAACTTCTTAATCACGACATTCATATATTTTAAAAATAACGTTAACCAAACGGTGAGTAGAGCATATTTCAAAAAGTATAATTCAAAACATAAAGTGGTTCAAAATCTCGAAATGATAGTCTAATGAACAGATCATCTCATTTTTTGATCTCAAATCGGTAAACGGTGATTCTGAATTTTCATGATCAACAGGCATAAAATGCAATTGCTTTTTAAAAGGCAAATTCAAGTGAGATAAAATATCCAGAAATTTATAAAAATCATTAGATTTTTGAGGTTTTAGCTGGTTCATTATCTGTATGTTATGTAAAATACAAAATGATAACATTAGCTTATTATGAATTTCTACAGGATAGTATGAAAAGCCTATGCATAGGGATTTGAAGAACGGCTACTATTGTTTCATTCATGCGTAAAACAGAAGCTGTCTGAAGGTAAATATATGAGTGTTTCTATACATCTCAGACTAGTATTATCAGCAAAGTCACTTATTGTTAGTCTGAACTGTGTTGGTAGGCTCAGATTATCTGATTGGGATCCGGGCCGTAATTGAGACAAATAGTTAGACATCCCAGGTAACACAGCTACAAATCAGCTGCACATTCATTTCTTCCTTATCTCTACCTTGATTTTGATTTCCAAGCTCACTCCATATATTTTCTTTCGCAAACTTATTCGTACTTTATAAACCACACTCGCTTTATGAAACACCATACGAGATTAAGTTTTATTTAAATTTGGACAGTATGTCATTTAACACCTTTCATTCTATGTCCACCTACTCCCCTATTCTTTTAAACTATTGATGGTACTGTAACTTGAATATATCATGACTCTAAAGAAAACTTTTCTCACTTGTACAAAGAATTTGTACTTTGAACAATAAATAAAATAATAAAGGGATAATAATCAAAATATATCAGTTAATAACTAAATACCTGATAGGGAGATGCATGGACATGTATTCTGGGACATGAGACGGGGTTCAGCAAAGATAGGTAGTTAAGCGAAACTGGCCACTGATGATGTGTACCTGAATGTCCAGAATCAAGCCAGTAAAAGTCTGTTATGATTTGAGAAAGTCCCAATACTTGTGCAGGAACACCTTTCACGGAATCAGCGGGTAATTTTTTGGAGCGGGATAATACTGAAAATTCATATAATATCTCTGTCAAAACACAACAACCTTTGCTAAAACCAATCAGTCTTATAGGGATAGTAGATATTTGACACTGTATATTAGCTTCACAATTTAACAACTTTTTAGCTGCATTTGACAGCAAACAACTTAAATGCATCATTCCTGTCAGTTTACAGATATCGTCATTTTCAAATAATGGCACACCAGATTTCGTAAAAGGCATGAAATTAACATAACAAGCTATTGAATTAGATATCCAATGTGAAGCACGAATAATCCACACATGGGGATTAGAGTCACGAAAGTGATTGGTAAATCGTACATACAAATTTTGGGCAGTATCTTCCAAATTCCATCTAATATACTGATTATTAAAATTATTTTGACTCATATTATATTCGTAATCCTAAAAATAATAAGTAGAATAAAACTGCCCTACATTAGCATTAAAGATGATTTTAACATGAAAGTATAGTTACTTTTTTTCAGAAAGAAAACGTAGGAGTGTAGAGACAAAAATTAGCCAGAAAAATCAAATCTATCCTGTCTTGAATATCATTATTACAAAACATTTTATCCACACTTTTTTTGGAAAGTTAGAGGTTTTTCATTCTAATACAAAAACAGCGGCGTCAATCACACTTCATTGTTCTTGGAAATGATTATAGTAACACTGAGATTAGGATCAATATGAACCAAAAAAACTACACATATATGTGTTTATAGGAAACAGCGGGTACATTCTGTTGATCAGTGCCATCCATAACGTGACTTGGCTTCATGTTGATTCACTCTAATTATTCAACAAGAAACTGGTTGATTCAGTATTTAAAAACTGGTAAGTTAAACGTACATTAAGAAAAAATATCTATTCCGTTTCCGTATCAAGTCGAATAGCTTCCTTAGAAATGTGTCAGAGAGAAAAGCTTGAATCTGACTTTCTAAATAGACTTGATGGAACCCGAAGTTAAGGCCTGGAAATGTATCATTTGGCTGACTTAAGTTACTTCACAATAAAGAATACATAAGAGACTTTAATAATCCCTTATCTCACAAAGTAAAATTACATCAATTCAGTTGGTCGTAATTAACATACGATCTGGCACATTATTGTCATGAGATCCTAGTCGTTTGTATAATATACTACTTTACCTTCTGGTACTGAAACTAAACAAAGACTTACATTATTCTTGAAACGTAAAATCACTTTCGAAAGAAGTTAAATCAGTGTCTAACACTTTCTATTCTTAAAATAACCTGACGAAATTTTAATACAGACACAAAAACATTATACCGATTTGTAGCTTCTTAATCCAACTGGGAAGAAAACAATATTTTAAAATGTGCATAAAATGCCGCAACTTAAGAATTAATTAGTTATCTAAACATAAGCTTGTTACGATAAATATGTCATATGACGTCAAATAATTTGTAATTGATTGGTGACTTGGTGGTGACCAATGCCATGTATATCAAGTCCTTCTTAGTACAGATCGAATCCTTTTAACCAAGTTGCAATGTGGTCACCAGTCTAGGTGACTCGACATTGCGTGCACTATGTTGAGATAAGATGGTGGTTGGAGGTAGTCAACAGGAAACCCTGGACCTAGGTTTCGTGGTACAGGTACACCTTACTGACGAGTGCCAAGTAGCACAAAACCTAGGTCCAGGGTTTCTTATTGACTACCTCCGACCACCATCCGAAGTCAAATAATATTAGGAAACAACGAAAATAGATAGTACACGGTTGTGAAATATAAAGAATGGAAATGAAAGATAACAGGGTTTTTTGAAGCATTGTTCACATGGTCGAGTTAAGTATCACGTACAGGGAGCAGGTTGGTTAGTGAACTTTTATCGATTGATGTGAATAAATAATACATTTAGGGCATATGAACACCCCCGAATGCCCTGGTACGGCCGAGAGTGGGGTGAGTCCGCTCTCCCCCTCGAAATACTCTCACACGGCCGCGCGTATACAGCCTCTGCCAGGGTAGTCCTACTCATTGCCTTCTCGTGGCGGGGGTGTTGTTTACAAAAATGAGAGGACGAAGAGCGAATGTCCGGCGCTTTAACCGGATCACAAACCAATGGTGCACATGGGCTCCAGTATCCTGCGGGAACAAATGGCGTATGAACCAATTGTTGGTCACCGGCTTCCATGGGATTGCATCTCCTTACGATGCTCCACTGCCTTGTGGGTTAGACCTTTAGGTCAAAGGCTCGGGGAGTGGCCCCCTAAGAAAACCACCTGCTTCGGTTTGGGCACCCGGGCAGTATCACAGCCCACACACAAACGATGAACTCTATGTCTTTGGCAACTACTTTTATCGCTCCGAAAAACAAAAACAATCAGTCGATTCAAATAATTATCATTACTATTATTGTCATTATTAATACTATTATTATTACTATTATTGTCGTTATTATTATTATTATTATTTTCCACATTATTCACCCTCTTTCATACTTATACAGCGGCTCGGCTTTGGTGGAAATCCGACTGTATCTAAACGTTCTCGAGTCACTGTCCGGTTGAAAGTTGTATGTTACCATCGAATATGAGTACTGAAGCAGTTTTTCTGAAACCACGTGCGCCATTCAAACTGGCTGCCTTCAACGTTCGCACACTTATGCAGGTTGGTCAACAGATAGGGCTGGCTATGTCTTTGGAAAGTCTTAATATTGATGTTTGTTGTCTATCCGAGACCCGTATTCAAGACTCTAGCGAAGTACTACAAATTCGCCCTACATCTGTCACTTCAAAAAGCTTATTTTACGTGCGCTTATCCGGGGACCCTGTGGCATCTTCGTCTGGTCTTGCAGGCGTTGGTGACGCACTAAGCGCTAGAGCTGAGGCAACACTAGTCGATTGGATCCCCATTAACAGTCGGTTATGTGCTGTTAGATTAGAAAGTTCCATCAAAGTGAGAAGAAATCGGCGTGAGAAACGATGTCTTTCCGTCATCGCCTATGCCCCGACAGATTGCAGCCCGGATGCAATCGAGGATGAAATCTACCATCAGTTAACTGTTCTTCTCCAGAAAGTGCGTTCGACAGATATTGTAGTACTAGCCGGAGACTTGAATGCTCAGGTCGGGCGTCTAGGCACAGAAGAGAGTCGTTTAGGTGGCCGATGGGGACTCGTTGGTCGCAGGTCAGATAACGGGGACTGTCTACTGCAACTATGCACAGACCACAACCTGTTTCTGGCTAGCACTAACTTTCGGCACAGTCATCGCCGATGTGCCACCTGGCGTCCTCCCTCTGCATCCCAAGCCTGGACTCAGATTGATCACATCGCGATCAGCTACCGCTGGCGTGTTTGTGTACAAGACTGCCGCTCCTTTTGGAGTACCTATCTGGACTCTGACCATGCCTTGGTCTGCACCAATCTTGCCTTACTTTTCAGTGGCCAACGAAGTGACCACCACCAAAAGATTGATGTTAGCAAGCTGGTTGCAACTTCTGTTGCTGGTAAGTATCGAACCGAGCTAGCCTCTAGGCTAGCTACCACTCCACCGAAAAGTATAGATGAGCATTGGTTGCAATTGCATGACGCCATGAAAATGGCGGGAACAGTCAGTTGTGGGTTTGCGAAACGTCCCGCTTATAAGTACTGGGTTTCTTCTGGTTCCTTACAACTCATTGAAGCCCGTCGGTTTACTCCGGGTGACCGTGAGTTTGACCATAAACGGAGGAAGTTACGTGAGGAAATTGGGCAAAGCTTGCGTAAGGACCGAGAAGCCTGGTGGTCGATGCGTGCTAATGAGCTGGAAGCAGCAGCTGCATCTGGTAACTACCGGGAGCTCTTCCAGCTCATCCGAGCCACTGGCAGCAATAAGTTTGGTGTGAGCGAAACAATCTGTGAGGATGATGGGATGCCAATCACTAACATCCATCGACGTCTTGGACGATGGGCAGAATTTTTTGAAGGGCAGTTCAACTGGCCTGCTGCTCCGGCAACATCGGTCAGACTGTCCTGCCCTCCATGGCCGGTGACGACTGATCCACCAAATGAGGTGGAAGTCCGCAAGGAACTCAAACTATTGAAGCGTTACAAATCACCTGGCCCAGATGACTTACCTCCGGCTCTTTTTAAAGATGGTGGTGACTTTTTGACTAAGGAATTGACGACGTTGTTTACAAAGGTTTGGGAACTAGAGAGTGTGCCAACGTCATGGAATGAGTCGATAGTTGTCCCTATCTTTAAAAAGGGTTCACGTCGTTCCTGCAACAACTATCGGGGGATAAGTCTACTTCCGATTGCGTCCAAGCTATTGGCTTCCGTCATAATTCGTAGGTTGTTCAAAACCCGAGAAAGATTGACTCGCGAGGAGCAGGCTGGGTTTCGTTCTGGTCGAGGATGTATTGATCATATCTTCACCCTCCGCCAAATGTTAGAACACCGCCATACTAATCAAAGGCCAACAATCGTAGTGTTTCTTGACATCAGGGCTGCCTTTGATTCGCTGGACAGAACTGTTCTCTGGGATTGTCTATTGAAGAAGGGTGTGCCTGAGAAGTTTATTAACATCCTAAAAGCCCTATATACAAACACCTCAGGCAGAGTGAGGGCATACAACCACCTCTCTCCATTGTTCCATTCGAGTAGTGGGGTTAGGGAGGGTTGCTCAATCTCACCATTCCTCTTCAACTTTGCCATCGATGACATTCTGGAAACAGCTCTGATGAATGTAAGTAATGGTGGTGTGGATCTGTTGCCTGGAGAAAGACTTTTCGACCTTGAGTATGCGGACGATATTGTCTTACTGTGCGATAATGCCCAAGGCATGCAATCCGCACTTAATCAGTTGGCAATCAGTGTCCGTAGGTATGGTATGTGCTTTGCACCTTCGAAGTGCAAAGTACTCCTACAAGACTGGCAGGATTCCAATCCTGTACTCACCCTGGATGGTGAGCAGATAGACGTAGTCGAGAAGTTCGTGTATCTGGGTAGCTGCATAAGTGCTGGTGGTGGTGTGAGTGATGAGATCAATGCACTAATAGTGAAAGCCAGAGCGGCTTATGCCAATCTGGGCCACCTTTGGCACCTTCGTGATGTTAGTCTGGCTGTAAAAGGTCGGATCTACAACGCGTCGGTGAGAGCAGTCCCCCTCCACACCTGTGAAACCTGGCCTCTCCGAGTTGAGGACGTTAGACGACTCTCTGTGTTCGATCACCGCTGTCTCCGAACGATTGCTGACATTCAGTGGCAACACCATGTCAGTAATGCAGAGGTTCGGCATCGTGTGTTCGGGCAGAGACGATAATTCAATTGGTGTCACCATCTTGAAACACCGACTTCGGTGGCTTGGACATGTTCTACGAATGTCGTCCCAGAGAATTCCACGTCGTGCATTATTTGCCGACTCTGGGACTGGTTGGAAGAAGCGGAGAGGTGGTCAGTGCATGACATGGTGTCGTGGCATGAAAGAAAGCTGCAAAGGACTGGCTTGTGTTGGTCTTTCACGACTCCCTGGTTGGGGTCTGAGAGATGGTGCCACACAGTGGCTAGAGACGTTATCAGATATGGCTCAGAATAGAAGCCAGTGGCGATCCTGCTGTAACCTTCTTTTACTTTCTTCATAAAAAGTGGTTGTGTCTCCCTTACCTGAAAGATTTCTTCCGATTGTACCTTTGCGTTCCCTGATTACTAGCACATTACCTTACACCAATCTCTTCGTTATTGTTCTCTCTTTTTTTGTTGCGCTCCTTAGCTTTTTTTTCTTTCTTTGTATTCCTCTCGAATTTTCATTGTTTTGTGTGGCGCATATATATTGGCGCTCTCCTGTACCAATATTCATGTGTCCAAATAAATAAATAAATAAATATGAACACCACTTACGACAACGATTTATGCTAGCCGGAGAAATAGTTAGGCATCAAGGGTTTTCGACTGATCAAACCAATTTTGGTGGCCTGCATGAATACCTGAGCTACCTGTTCCTGCCACCTAGATATTTCTAAAGGTTATTTGTTTTTGTTTGTTTTAACACACCATTATGTCTATTAATCGCATAACCTATTCAGGTGCGTTTCTGAAAGTCAGTCAGTCAGTAACAACGTAGAACTTCGTACGTACGTACATCAGTTCGAGTTGCCACACGACATGAACACAGAGATGCAGTTGTCGATTCAAATCCCGTAGTGGTAGAGGTGGTAAGAGTATAAGCAGTAATCGGAAACCTTAAGGTTTGAAGATGTTATTTAAAGAGTATAATCCAGTGAAATAAATTTGGAAAGAGTAAAAAGAACGGGACATGAAGAATTCAGAAGACTAGAATTTGGGAGAACACAAAGAATGTATGCACCTGAGCCATTGCAAATGATTTTGAGCCATGTCATTCAAGGTCTCTAACCATCGGGTGCTATCATCTCGCGGTCCCCAACCAGGTAGTCTACACCTACCAACATGACTCAGTCCACTTGTCAGTGACTTCATGGACTTGTGCAATGTTTTGGTCTGACCGCCCCTAGCTTTCTTCCAACCTACTCCTATACCACGGAACATCGCTGTATAAGTCACAAGAACGTACAATCAGAAACATTATGGTGGCTGGCAATATGGATTAAAAAAATGAAAATTATTCAGGTGTCAATTCCCGAACTGCTAACATACTTTGGGTTGAGAGACATCGTCCAACATGGCGACCGCCTGCACCAAACCAACGATGGACTCAAATAGACCATATTGCCATCAGTCATCGTTGGAAAGGGTCGAAAGAAGATTGTCGCTCATTCTGGAATACCTGTTTGGACTCCAACCATGCTCTAACACGGACACGCATCTGCAAGTGCCCCATTGGACGCAGAAAAGCTACACTAAAAAGACCCATCGGAATTGAATTGAGTGACGAGAAAATCGAAAGTAGGTTCCAGGAACAACTGAGGTCACACTTAGGTAGTTCTGAAAACGAGGCTGACCCAGATGTTGCTCGGAAAGATATCCAAACAACTGTGGAAATAGCAGTGACATCTGTGAGTGATTTACACCAAAGGGTTACAAAAAGCCAAAGTCTATTCCACTGATGGATTCTCGTAAACTCATCTCATCAGACTCTGAACACGATGAAGAGCGAAAACAAATCATATCTAGGTTAAGCAAAAGTCTAAGGAACGACCGTGAGCATTGGTGGGCAACGAAAGCGAAAGAGATGGAAAAGGCGGTGGCTGTAGATAACACAATACAGCTCTATAGACCAATAAAAAAGACTGGAATTAATAAGTCAAGTGTATGTGAGACTATCTCGGAAAAAACGACACTCCTATTTGCACCCAGTCTAGACGTTTAAAACGATGGGTGGGATATTTTAAAGAGAAGTTCAGCTGGCCTTCAGCTACTCTACAACTACCCACCACTCCCAGACAGCGTGGATGGAACATCGAAGTAGGTCCTCCGATTCTATCTGAAGTTCGAAAGACTATAGTTAATCTGAAACGAGGAAGAGCAGCTGGTCCAGATGGATTGGTCCCAGATGTCTTTAACTATGGTGGTCCAGTTTTAGCGATTAACTTGACTAGTATGTTAACTTATTTATATATTTCAACACATAGATATTGGTACAAAGAGGCACCAAATATATATGCGCCACACAAATCTCATTCGATATATGCGAGGGCTGTGATACTGCCCGGGTGCCCGAGTCGGAGCAGGTGGTTTTCTTAGGAGGCCACTCCCAGAGACTTCGACCTGAAGGTCTGATCTACAAGGCAGTGGACCATCGTAAGGAGATGCAGTCCCATGGAAGCCGGTGACCAACAATTGGTTTATACGCCATTTGTTCCCGCAGGATACTGGAGCCCATGTGCACCATTGGTTTGGAATCCAGTTAAAGCGCCGGGCATTCGCTATTCGTCCTCTCATTTTCGTAAACAACACCCCCGCCACGAGAAGGCAGTGAGTAGTTGGACGTAATCCCATCTGACTGGTCACAATCACTGATCGTCCCAATATATAAGAAAGGGTCAAAATCATCTTATGACAACCATAGAGAGATTAATTTAACTAATATGGCATCTAAAATACTAGCCTCAATAATTATCGGACGCCCAAAAAACTCATGAACTGCAAGCACGAGAGAATCAAGTTGGTTTCAGACCTGGTCGTGACTACATCGACCACATAATCACCATTCGTCAGGTTTCAGAACACAAGCATGTTTATCGGCGTCCGACAATGACAGTTTTTGTTGACTGAAAAGCAGCAGCATATGACTGTAGACCAAAAGCTTATGTGGCAGTGTCTGTCATTGAAAGGTGTACCTCAGAGGTACATAAACCTTGTGAAGGCTCTTTACTTGAACACTACTAGTCGAGTCAGAGCTTATGGCGAACTGTCACCTGTTTTTGCAACATCAAGTGGTGTCTGTCAAGGCTGTCCACTTTCTCCATTTTTGTTTAACTTCATCATAGACCTACTGATGGAAATAACATTCTCATCGACTGAATTTTCGGGCAATGATCTCCTTCCAGGAGGTCCACTTATCGACTTGAAATACACAGACGACACAGTCCTGTTTGGCAAAGACGTTGATAAAATCCAGTCATTTGGTAGCACTAAGCAACAATGCCAGAACGTTTTGAATGCGCTTCCCTCCCTCTAATTGCAAGTTGTTGCTTCAGGACTGGTCTCCGTCAACACCTGAACTAAGGATAGGGAGTGAAGTAGTCGAACGCGTCGACAACTTCACTTATCTTGGAAGTCTGATCAGCCCTAATGGGTTGGTGTCTGACGAAATCTCAGCACGGATTCGAAAAGCTCGCTTGGCTTTTGCCAACGTACGTCACCTATGACGAAGGCGAGATATCCATCTATCAATAAAAGAACGAGTATTAGGGAATGATAGTAAATCAGTTTATGAGATTGTGAATCTTCATCGACTGAGATAGTTGGGAACACGTGTTACGTATGCCTGGACATCGATTACCATGATGTGCAATGCTAGCCGATGTTGGGGATGGTTAGAAGAAAGTTAGGGGAGGCCAAACCAAAACGTGGTACCAGTTCTTGAAGTCACTAACTTCTAGTCTGGGCCATGTCGGTAGATGCAGACTACTTGATTATGGTCCGCGTGACTATCGTAACCAATGGTTGGAGACTCTTGGTGACATGGCTGAGAATCGATCACAATGGCGTAGGTGCATACACTCTTTGTCTTCACTTAAACCATGAGATTAAAATTGCTTCATATCTTTGTTTCATATATTACCACCACTGGATTAACTACTTCTATGAATCCGGTGTTCATCTTGTTGTGCTAATGGGGTATGGCAACTTGGACCGATGCACATATGTGCCTGGTCTTACGTTGTAGCTGACTGACTAACTTTGGGCTGAGAATTACTCTACATTGTCCTAAAAATATAATATTGAATAAAACCATAATAATAATAATCCTTATAGTTCCATGGCATCAACCCTTTTTACGTGTGGATGAGTACGTTTCTTCGTCAGATTTCGCAAGAGATAGTCAATCCATATTCAGTCACACGTACATACATAGACTAACATTTTATTTTACTACGGACGGTACAACACCTATGTCTACAACAGACAAGCTTCGTTTAAATAGTATGATCAAAATCGATATCCAGAATAAAAATAACTAGTCGAAACACATTTTATCCATTCATAAAACTCACCTGTACATCACCTCCAAAATAAACCAAATTAACAGTAGGATTCACTTTTGTTCCGAGGAAAATTACATCATTACGTTTCTTAAGATAACCCACACAATTCTTAAGTTCACGCTTTACTAAACACATCTTGAAATTTAATCTATAGCCAGAGAGAAAGAGGATTTTTACGAGAAAGGTTTTAGTACTATAAGCAAAGGTTTTTGAAAAGTAATATGCTGTTTATTAGTTTGCTTTTGTTTAAAAAATGAATCGATCTAAGAACTATCACTGAAGAGTATTTATCGGATACTTATTAAGTAACTAGCTTTGCTAGTAAAATATTCCAATTTAGTTATTCACCTATAAAAAATGTAAGACCTGATACAAATGTACATCGGTTCCGATTGCCACACTACTGCAACACAGCGGGGAAAAGTGAACAAAAATACCAGTGCGCACTTATCTAGTACTCAAGGTCAACAAGTTAATTGGTTTCAATGATTTCCCTAATCTGGAATTTTTATAAACAACAATCAAGTCTTAATTGACTGGAGAATGAATGATCTATCGGTTAATTTCTCCTAATCACCTATAACATTTGGTCATGTTTGTTTTGCGTTCATATTCATCATAGAAACATTTTATTTTATTCCATAAAAACCTATTCATTTGACTAGTGATATTGTTTTCGATTTTGAACTATCCAGAAACTTAAGTCGATAATATGGTTTTGTGAGGATCTATCACTCGACCACAACATATTATTGGGGTCATCTATCGACCGGCATTTTAACCATTTATTTCAACAATCAAAAATGTCTCGTTAATCATCGAAAATTTCATCTATAAAGGTGGTAACGAGGATAAGGTGAAAATTAGTTTTTAAAATCCTTACTACTATAGATGGGTAGAACTTATTGTTCATCAAGTTAGGGCGGTCGTAGACCAGAATGCTTCCAAATGAATCAAAATCTGATCACAACTAACACGTTAATAACTTACAACTGAATACAGTTCACAATGAAGAATGCAATAGAGACCAAAATCTCAGTTCATGCAACAATACAATGGTCGAAAGCAATGACGTACCTAAGTGGATATAGATCTGAAGTTACTGAAAATTCAAATGCAGTCATGCAATATCAGTAAGAATTCCCAGGGAATTCTTCAATTGCAAGTCTAGAACCTACAATTTCAGTCACACATCATTAATCAGAGTCTACAGTACATATGTCAGATCAACCCTCACAAAACACATCGAATAATCTCACGAGAACCACTTACTTTCGCAATTACAGCACACGACCACTTTAGGTGCTTACATTATTATGAATCAACTCATGCAACAAATGAAAGAGGAAATGAAGTATCTTACATTTTATATCAATAAGGCTGTTGTAATCAGAAAAAGAAACAAAAATATGGCTCATGGTCAATGTACAAACATGTAAGTTTTAAAAGGATTTAACTATGCTTTATTTATCTTTGAAAAAAACAAGATACAGAACAATTGCAACTTGGCCAAACAGGTATCCAGTCATAGTTTAAAGCACAAGAAACTTACGGCAAGAATACTTGATTATAATTGTTCAGAGGAGCAATCTATGATATTGTTCACATACTAAATGATTTAAGATATACCATAAAATTTGTTTCCATACGATACTACAAGCTATGGATACATTTTCTACAGAAAACGACAGAAAAGCCTCCAGGAGGTTCATTTAACTAAACATGCAGTCTTTTCTAGACCTGTACTTAGAGAGAGGTACAAATTTCACACGAACTTATGTATAAATAACCTTCAACAGGATAATAATTAGAATGAAATCAGGCGAGATTATAAGTTATGGACGAACCAATCACGTATAAGATAACAGGTCTCGGATTTTGGCGCGAAATTCACACATTCATTCGGACAAACAGAGTTTTGGCACTATACCTGATGTCAGTTCGTGATGAAAACCCTAAATCTAATTTCGAACTTTAATCATAAACTGTAAATCATAATTTTAATCTATCACACACGTCTACAACTCTCATTTGGACCTGGTTATTAGGTGGGCACTTTCAAGGTCAGTCTGGCGTCGCTCAATAGTCGTCCATAAATCATAGTCTCCCCAGAAATAAAAAATATCAGAAACAAAAGCAGTTCTAAACTTTAGTAACACTTTCGCAAAGCTTCTTTTATGAAAAACAGTTAGAGCATATCGCGATTATTGTTGGAGATTTAAACAGTTGATGAGAGTTAAGAGCGGAGTAGGACACACAATCTTTTAGACGTATCTGAATTTTGATGGTCTTAATACGCGTTTGATAGTGTAATGTCAGTAAACGACGAATGTCACTTAACGCTTTTATATTGTCATTAAAAGCAATGGAGCAGGACATCAGTCAGTCAGCTACAACGTAGGACCAGGCACATAAGTGCATCGGTTCAAGTTGTCATACCTCAATAGCACAATAGTTGCCACATCCTCACAAAATAATAGATTGAAGCAGAAAGGAAAAGAATGAAGCTAGCCAAATTTCAGGAAAGAGGTTTTTGATGTTAAGTGTGGGAACTGACGATTCAACTTGACTACCCAACTCATGAGAGGTGATATCTTGAAACAACCTCAAGTATAAAACAATGTCGTAAAATCGCATGAATAAAGTAAATAAATACATATATAACTGCGGTAATATTATGAGAGTTGACTACAATTTTGTTCTTCAAAAAATTTACCATATACAACGAAAATTTATAAAGTAACTGAGATCCCACATCTTTTTAAATTATCCTCTTTTGACTCACTTGAGAAATGGCAGGAAAACTTGGCATACCGAATAGTTTGGAAACAGCTTACTATTTTCAAACCATTGCTCAACATCTATTGATCAAAAATATTCATCCAGCAGATCATAACATTCCAAACTACAATGAAAATACCGTGTTTTTCTGGACTTGTAGATGAATAGCCAAGAAAAGGATTCACTATTATTTACTATCAAAAAGCCTGGCACAATCGGACAAATAGATGGGCCACACAAAAAAGTATCGAAAATATTTTGGAGGAATATAAGGGAGGAAAGTAGTGTGATCAATAAAGAAGTTTTAAAAAATAAAATACAGTAGGAGATAACAACCAACTAAAGATACAAGAACGAAAGTTTTTTCCAGATAGGAAAAATTATCGAACTATTGTGGAAAGTCGAATAAAATATTGCAACAAAGTTGCCATTGTTTTTTAGGCGAGACTCTAATTTAGCGACGACCTTTGAACGAATCTTAAATGACCTTGACAATTATTAGCCAATCAGAAGACAGCTAGTACAAAGTGAGAATATATTGTAAGTAAGTAACGAATTACAGTGGATATTCTTCTTTTACATGATTTAAAAACTTGCTAAGGTTTGATGAAGGTTCAGAGCCTCTCAATTCATAATGCATATTGTATAGAAACTCGTCCATAGCGTTAGTGGTTAGGGTTGTAGCCTGTCAATAGACATCTCATCTCTAAAATCCGATGTAAACCGATCGCATGTTAGCACCCTAATCTAACCCTAACCCAAACCTTAACCTAACCCTAACCTTAACCCTAAACCCTAATCTAACCCTAAACCCTCATATAAACCTAACCAAACCTAACCTAAGCCCTAAACCCTAATCTAACCCTAACCTTAACCCCTAACCCTATGGACGAGTTTCTATACAATATGCATTATGAATTCAGAACTTCTGAGCCTTTATCAAACCTCAACCAGTTTTTAACTCATGTAAAAGAAGAATATCCACTGTAATTCATTACTTTCTTGTAATATATTTTTACTTTATACTGTCTTCTGATTGGCTAATAATTGAAATTGCTCAAACGCTTCTCACTGGCTCGTCCCTAAATTAGAGTTTCGCCGTTCCATCTGTTTTAACCTCTCATTAATCACCTCCTCTCTAAAATCCGCTGTGAACCGACCGTATGTTAGCATCGCGTGTTGAACTTGGCTCCGTGACCTTGAGATTGCTCAAACGCTTCTGATTGGCTCGTCGCTAAATTAGAGTCTCGCCGTTTTTTATTCTGAACCATACAAAAACCTCTCAACAAAGTTGGACCACGTTTAAGATCTCAACGGAGGAAATGTGATGGACCGACAGATCCAAGTACTAAACTGCTTCCTTTCATACTACGGTGACGTGTTATAAACTGATAGCCTCTTCGCTTTCTCCAACTATTCCTAGCACCAGTATATAATGGGCGATGTGGGAGCCACTAGGATAAAATTTGTAGTCATTGTCCCCATAATGGAGAGATAGGATTACCGGCAAGAAGTTACACAAGCGTAGAGTAGAAAAAAGCTGATAGTTTGGACTAGAAGTTAGTAGAGAAAGGCTTAAACCCGCCATAGCTTTGTAGTGCCCAAACCGATCATACGGTTATAACTGTCCCGAGCTCACAATTTTAGGGAAATTTTGGGGTTATTGTGCTATTTCCCCAAAATGTGCCAAATTTTTCCCAAAATTAGGAGCTCGGGATAGTAACAACAGCAGTTGCTGTTAAAGTAGAAACACCCGATGATATGCATATAAATTCTCCATCTAATTAGTTGACTGAAAACGCCAAATTGATCGTATTGAACCAACCAGTCAATTGATAAATAGTTTTCAAGTCAAAAGTCGCTTCTTACCGTTGCTTTGCCTTTCTCAAGGACAACCTTGAGGTTGAATATCCACCATTGTAAACGAGATTGACCAAGAAGGAGAAATCACTGAAATACTTCAGTCTTCAAAATTAAGCGTAAAATATAGAGTGGAATATAATAATGACTAAAATTTTCAGCGTTGTAAAAGTTTAATCTCTCTATTAATTTATCAAAAGTGGATGCATCACAGATCATCTCCCGCTGTTCATGTTGATCTGAGGTTTGTTTTGTTGTTTTTCAAAATCTTCCGAAATGAGCGTCAACGTTGGTACATTTACTGTACCTCTGCGTTAATCAGTCAAAAAGTTAATCAAAACCCTTTCTTTGGCCAACTACTGGACTAAATGGTGGAATAAAAGTACGATGTGAGGTGATTTCTTGAAGACCAACGACTGTGATCTAGGTTTCGTGCAAACTTTGTTGTTCTTCAAGTCGCCTAGCGAAATATGTTTGAAATTAATCAATTCTGGTCACTTAATTTATCAGCAAATATGAGATATGAAACACGAATACACTGTTGAACTAATAATCAGAGTACTACCTTATTTGTTAGGTAACAGTAAAGGTGCCACATGTATTCGGAATTTCACAACATTCTCAAACGTAGTGCAGGACCAGTGAAATGTCACTGAGCCCTAGCCAAATCATCCGGCAGTTGGATCACTGAATGTCGAACAGATCGTCGCTCCCTGCCAAGGTCATGTACAACAAACGCGCATCAGTTAATGGTATGCCATGGACTGACCCATGCGACAGTCGTCTTACTTTCGTGCCATTCCGAAACACCGAGAGACGATGAATGAAGTATACTAAATCATTCAATTCAGAAGTAAGAAATGAACAGGTCCGAAAATACATTTGAAAAGCTGTAGTGACGTACGTTTATCAAGAGAACGCAATTGGTATAATGGAAAGAACTATTATTATAACCATTTGTTCCACTGATTATTTTACTATACTTGTTTGTTTAACTGTACTAAAGACATTCTTCCTTCCGTTGGTTGTGACCTTGCACGAACTTACGTTTGCTCAGTAGTTTCGCTTGTACTCCTTTGGCACGATCTCGGTATTATTCCGATACCACGAGATCGCCAACAAATATATATCGTCACAACCTTCAGTCACCTTCTGATTTCTGGTTTACCCGGAGGTTTAGCCTGTTCTGGTACGCAATCTTCCTGTAGTGGTGACCATAGTCAAACGCGACTCGACGCCAAACTACAAATGTTGAACGCGAAACTAAGAACACTTTTCAATCGTGGTCAAATCTTCCCAAAAAGCCAATTGCAGTGAGTCTATTACTTATTTATTCACGTCTGTTGCACATTTCCTTATTTTTTTTCAATATATAATATTCTGTCAACAAATTGAGATGACCGATAACGATAGGAATGGTATTATTATTATGAACTCTGACGTACAGGTTGTCCACTTTCGACCTGTCTTCTATACCCCACAATCCGGAAGTTTGGTTCGCGGCACTGGAGTCTCTGTTTGAGACCTTCTGCACTACGAGCCAACGGCAAAAATATGCCTATGCTCTGGAATCTTTACCAATGTATCACATAGTCGCTGTCCGTGAGGTTTTCCCCAACCGCAATGTACCTAAAGTTTATGACCGCCTAGAGGAG